GACCATAAGAGGTCTCCGGTTTATTATAGGGTTTTGGTAACCCAGGTTAGTATCTAAGATAGATACAGGGTATCTCAGGTAGATACAGGTTTTGAGACCATAAGAGGTCTCCGGTTTATTAAGTCTATAGGTGTTCTGAGCAGCATGGTTTGTAGATCTTTAAGTATAACCCAAACTTCTCTTTCTCCCGGTCACCTTTGTTTGTCTTAAGTGTTTTTTGTGGGTGATTGATTGTCTATATTGGGGACACACTTTGGTAAGTTAGTAGTGTCCCCACTCTGAATCAGCAGTATGGGAAATGTGAGTTCAGGTCCTGAGTGACCAATATATGTATGTATATATGTGTATATGTATGTATATATGTGTGTGTATATGTATATGTGTATATATAAGATAGCAGTACTTTTAAACAAATGGAGGTTTTAAAAATACATAGGGATTAAGGAGAGAACGCAGGTAACTTGTTTTTCTTTGGTTTTTACCATATATTGGGGCTGATGTGTACTGTAGTCCTTGCTGCTGCCCAGTGGTGATGGGAGTGAGCGTAGGACTTATCTTTTTGCAAGATAGCAGTACTGTATATTAGAAAAGAAATGACTCACAGGTTGTACCTGATAGACCTACTTAAATCTTTTTACTTTATTCTTTCTGTCGCATAGAAGTATAAGTTTATTACTCTGTTTTATTGTAAGTTATTTCACATGGGATCTATTATGTGCCTGGTATGATTGTTGCTTTAAAAATACTATAAGCCCACTACATTTATTATGAGAGTGGGATAGTGTAAATGTGTTGCATTGTTTGCATGATGAGCTCAGTATATTTTATAACTGAGACAAAAAGTCATTTCATTAGTATTTGAAAGTTAATTCCCCATATGGGATTAATTGTATAGAAACACCAATCAGCACATCTTCCCTGCCCTGTGTGTTTGTTGCAAAGGATCCATACTAAATATGATTTATGTTTGAAAATAACAGAGCAACATTTACATTTTCAGCGGTCCAACACATGCTTTATTTTGCGCTGTAAACTAACCTTTTTATTGCAACAGGTTCCTTTTAAATGATCCAGTGTAATAACTACTGCTTGTGTCTTCTATGTCTCACATTATGTGTTATTTTAAATTGTGGTATATAGCCTGAATCAGACATCATGGACAAAGGGTTTTTACCTGTATTACAAAGGGCTCTTGGAGACTGACCGGTCTAAAGGTTTGCCATGCCTTTAAAACATGGTATAGAATACATTTTTTTTAAGTCTCTGAGAGTTCTGAAAGATTCAGGTGAAACCATGTCTGTTTAATCTGGTCCAGATGTTTGTTCAATTTCTATAAGATTTAAGTTGATGCAGCATCATCTCAGATTAGTTAATGGAAGTTTTATACAAATAGTTGAGTTATGAGCGCGCTATATAAATGGATCCTTTCTTTAAATACAATACTATAGTAGATTAAAGTAATGAAGTTAATTAAGAAAATGTACACATAAGAATCCCTAAAATAAATCTAAACTAAAATTGGTATACCTTCCAATAATATGTTCTGAATACAGCTGTTTATTCTGTGTAAATGGTGACTGTGATAATGTGTGATAAGTGTGCAGTTTAACTTGAAAGTGGTTTAATTTATGTTGCTGTATTGTTTTAAATTATATGTGAATCAGTTTGTCACAGTCTAGTGATACTGATAAGAATGACAGCCAAATAACCTAGCAAATAACTGTTTTATTAGTTGTTGAATACTAGCGTTTTGGCCAAGAATAGTTGGAGATTTGGAGGTGTTAGTTTAAGATTGCTTTTATATTGTGTCTATCTGTGTTTCCTAGGAGGGAGACAGAGTGTGTAGTTGTGTGCCCATAAATGTGATTTCTGTATTGGCATATCTGCTGGGTACCCATTATGTGTTTCTACAAAGATATTGTTTTATGAGATGACTAATATTACATGGGATGCTGAGTATGAGTTATATGGTTTGAAATGAATTGGTGATTATGAGTTTAGTACTTCAGTAAGATGTGCTAAAATTTGGAACAAGGTGGAAGCTGAAATGTTGGGATTATGGAAGAATAAGCAGTCTATATTCACTGCTTTGGCATATAAGCAAGATGCAAAGGAAGAGATTGGTAATATGATTTTTGTAAAGAAATTTTACAAGTGTTGGAAGGATGAGGCAGGTTTGATGTCTGGAGATGATATAGATATCTTTAAAATACAGTCATGCCTTGGTAATATGTTGCCACAGTATTATTTGCTTGTGAAACAATTGATTTCAGACTGGGCCAATTTGGATAGCTCAGATTTTCTTACCAAGGTTATAGAAAAGGAAAATGCAGGTTGTTTTGAATTAAGAAAAGATTTAGGAAAGTAAGGTTGCTTATTATGCTCAGGGATTGCAACATATTATGTCCAGCTACACAGGATGAGAGCAAGGATGGGATGGAGCACATAAAGCCCGTGGAAGGGGTGGTCAAAGAGGGGCAAGGGGATGGAGACAGGGAAATCAGGGTTATAGGGGCAGGGGTAACCAAGGAGGAATAGATAGGAACACTTGTTTCAACTGTGGACAATATGGCCACTGGAGGAATGAGTGTCCACATCCCAGGAAACCCCAGGAAACCCCACACACCCCAACAACCCCACAATTCTCAAAATATGCCCTGTAGGCAAGAACAACACCAGACCCACTCCCAACACCACTGGCCAGCATATCGCTTAGTTCAGGACTTTAGAGCCCTGAATAGTTTAATTGTGCCCATTTCACCCATTGTCCCTGATGTGACATCCCTCATTACAGCCATTCCACATGATGCCACTTGCTTCACTGTCATTGATTTAAGTAATGCATTTTTTTTCTATACCTATTGATCAAGAGACACAGCTACTTATGGTTTTTACTTTTTGAAGGCTGTCAGTTTACCTGGACACGCTTACCCAAGGCTATGTGGATTCCCCAGCTGTTTATTCGTTGGTACTCCAACATACTCTAAAAAACATGGACCACCGGTCATGGTTCCGTCCTTTTTGCAAAATGTTGATGATTTGTTGTTATGTAGCCCTAGCTATGAGGCAAGCACTGTGGATACTGTCAGCAACTGTAGGTCACAAGGTTGTTAAACACAAAATGCAATTGTGTAAATCAAAGGTTGAATACTTAGGTTTTGTTCTGGCTTCAGGCACCAGACAATTGAGTCCAAAACGTATTGAGGTCATTCAGAGGATTCCTACACCCACTACTCGGAAGGAGTTGCTCACCTTCCTCGGCATGATTAATTACTGCCACCATGGATCCCTGAATGCTCCCATTATGACTCAATCCTAAGGGAGGCTGTACGTTCTGACAGCCCTGAAAATGTCTGCTGGTCACCAGACATGCTAGCTGCATATATTGCCCTTACAGTTGTTATTGTGCAAGCCCAGGCTTTAGGACTACCTGTGTATTGTAAACCATTTCATTTGTATGCTTGGGACAATTGTAAAACCATGGCCGCGGTCTGTGCACAAGAGCAAGGAGGCGGTATGCGTCCCATAGCATTCTTTTCCAAAGTAGTTCAAGCTCCGGTACAGGGTATGCCGGCGTGTCTCAGAGCATTGATAGCATGTGCAATGGCTGTTGAAACTGCTACTACTATCACACTAGGGCATCCTACAATACTTCATGCCAGTCACCAGGTCACTCAGCTGATGACAAATCTCACCACACAACACATGACAGCCCAGCGCTTCAGTGGTTATGAGATTCTTTTTTTTAAATACCCAGAATCTGTCTTTTGGATTAAACAAGGTTTAGAGAAAGATCAAAATGATCTGTTCTCTAAAGAGGGGAGAATAGGCATACTTGAAGCAAGCTGATTTATTTTCATCAGTCAGGCACATAGCAAGCACCATTCAATTCCTCATGAATTCATTTTATATTAGGAATCTTAGGCAGTATGTACAGTCTTTTGTAAGATCGTGTGAACGCTGCTCTTTTTACACACTTACAGATTGATTTTATTCATGTATCCAAAATTGGTAAGAAACAGCAATACTTACTGGTCATAGTTGATCAGTTTAGTAGATGGCATGAGGCCTTTGTGACATCTAGGGAAGATGCTAGTGAAGATTATTGTTACTGAAATTATTCCCAGGTATGGCTGCCCTCTGCAGATTGGCTCTGATAATGGCCCGGTTTTTGCCAGTAGGGTTGCCCAGGAACTTGCTAAATTCTTGCAAGTTACCTGGCAGTTTCATATACCCTATCATCCACAGAATACAGGGGTAGTTGAAAGGATGAATAGGACTATTAAGGAAAAGCCCAGAATTTACCCAGGAACATGGGTAAATTGGACTAGATATCTACCAGCTATTTTAGCTGAGATAAGAATGAATCCCCACAAGGTGACTAAATTATCTCCATTTGAGATTTTGATGGGATGACCTTTTCCCACACCCTGGGCCAGGGAACTGCTTGTTATAATGTCTGGGGATTTAAAGCTAATACAAGAACAATATGTACAGGAATTGTTGATAAAACCGAATGGTATGTATGACAATGTTTCTTCGCAGTTTTCCCTTACCTTCACAGGAACCTACTCATTCATACCAGCCCGGTGACAAGGTGTATATCCGTCAGTTGAACAGGACCAAGAAAGGAGGATACCCTTTTGGACCACCTGCTACTGTGATTGCTGTACCCAGAACCGCTGTCCTCACAGATTCCCACGACATCTGGATTCACGCATCCCGAGTGAAGCTGTGTCCAAAGAGGGGAACCAAGGAAGACAACACCACTCCTCGCTCGGAAACAGAAGAATTTCTCCTCAGCGAAGCATCATGGCTTTTACACCATATCGTAGATTGAGAGGATCATACGTACCTGAGACCAAGATTATGTTGTGCGCTATGCTTTCTGGAGTTGTTATACTCCCTCTGATATTGTTCCTTGAATGCCATTATGAGTACAAGTCAATGGCAAGTTCTGGAAAAAGACTCTGACATGATGAACAATTCTTCAATACCCCCAGCCCAATTAGGCCTTAGCCCCTCATCTAGCATTCGTCACACACGCCCCCTCAAGAACCTTTCTCCACCACCTTTCTATCAGCATGCAATATGCAATCATTCATTCAATGAACGCATTTGGATGAATTGGACAAATAGTAACCCTTATAAGTACCAGTTACCCATATGAAATGTGTCTACAGCTAATGAAACCGATGCATTATGTTTGTTTAAAGGTTCACAGAAAATTGTTAGATCTTATAACGCAGAAATGTGCACAGTTAAGGTTGCATATCAATGTAAACAGACAGGCCTTATTACTTTTAATAATGATTATATAACTGGTATCATTAATTGGAAAAGGGGACAAATGTTAGTCATTATGAACGACACTGCAATTGAGAACTATACACTACCTTATATTTTTACACCTTATTACTGTCCTTCATCCACTATCATAGAACCAAAAGTCAAACACGACACACACACACACCTATTCCGTCCACATGTGTTAATACAACTGCCTTCTTACAAGCTGTACATGTGTCATTAAAAGTCACTACTCTTGTTGTAACATTATGTAATACAACAAACAAAGGCAGAAAAGGGAATGGTATGACACACTGTTAGATGGTGCTGGAACCACTATGGGTATACTAAATAGTTATAGATATGGAGACCCTCAAGAATAAGTTAAACACAGCCAGCATGCATATAGGGACTGGTTTTCATGCTACTGCAAATTGGGCTCCAATTGTTGTTAAATCACAGGTTATAGGATTGGATTTAGATAAATCAATGTATAATTATTTAGATAATTTAACTGTTGCAACTATGAAATTCACTAGAGGTCTAAGTAACTGGAGTACTTGTGCCATCAGGTATTTATGGATACAACAACAAGGATTGGCATTAGAAAACACACTAATGATTCCTAAACTAGAGAAGATTAGAGGAAATGCGTAACCTCACAGATAATGAATGGTTACTTCTAAAACCCCAATCCAGTAAATGCAATGGATGGTTAACTGGTAATGTTTCACATTTTTCATGCTCTTGCTATTTTACATTATATCATACATCATCAAAGGATGTTAAATTAGCTTGTCAATTTAACACATTACCAGTACCAGTTTATGATCTTTTTGCCAAGAATTTAACCTGGTGGGCACCCACATACACAGGGGACTATATTTTTCCCAAAGATAACACACACAGGTAGCCACACATATCCTAAAAGGAGAACTCCTTAAGGTGAGTTCACAAATTCAGAATGATTCAGCCCATAATTGGTACGATGCTTCACTGGTTGGTCCCCTACTGGATCTCAGATAATGAAATCATTCTTCTATCCTTTTGTTATTATAGTCCTGATTTTATTGTGTATGATTTTATATAACTGTCACCTTACTTGTACATTGAGGAAGTGAGTACAGAAATGAATCCATAATGCAGAACAGAAACAATTAGAAATTCTCCTCTCTGCCACTGTAGAGTATCAACCCATCTTTAAACTGGGCCTTAGGAATTACCACATGGGAATCGAGGTGAAGAAATTAATGAAAGTCCCGCAGGGAGTGACTAGCACCCCTGAAAATACCATGTGGAGGTTTCTCTGTCCTGGTAAGATTTTATCGATAAGATGAGCAATTGTTTTATTGCTCAAAGAGGGGAATGTAAGAATATTAAATAGTTAACTTGTTTATATGTATTTTATGCTTTTATAAGGTTTATAACATGATTATTGCTGACTGAAGGAATATTGAATACTTAAACTCAATATACGACAATCATATGTTGACTGTGACAGACTAAGGTATTTCTTCTATAGGATGTAAGACAATGCTAAATTTCAGGATGTCTTGCCCATTCCGATTTTAAGGATATTCTTTTCCAGACGTATGCAAAAGCTTATCTTTCCATTGTCAGAATAACGTAATACAAGGAAGTAATAAATCTTATAGTCTGTACTGTAATGGCATATACCATGGCTAATGTAAGCAAACTATGTATAAAAGCCAGCTCTGGAATACACTCATTTGAGAGTCTTGTAAAGCTGTTGTCCGTGTGTTATTGCTTACAAATGATTCTCCATCAACGTTGATTATGGTGACCGAGGGATCGAGAACCGAGGGGATTAGAGTCCATTACAACATTAACCCTTTCAGTAGTGTGTGTGTGTGTGTGTGTGTGTGTGTGTGCAGTGTGTGTGTGTGAGGGTGCAGTGTGTGGGGTAGAGTGTGTGTATTGGGGGGCAGTGTGTGTATAGGGTACAGTGTGTGTGTATTACAGGGCAGTGTGTGTGAGGGAAGGCAGTGTGTGCATATGGGGGAGCAGTGTCTGTGTGAGGGGAGGCAGTGTGTGTATGGAGGTGCAGTGTGTGTTTATGGGGGTGCAGTGTGTCTATTGGGGGTACAGTGTGTGTGTGTGTGTGTGTGTGGGGAGCTATTGTGGGTCAGTGGGGGGTAGGGGGGCTGATTAATAAATATAACTAAGTTTTTTTAAATTAAAATTCCCTCTCCCTTCTTACCTTTGCCTGGGAGGGGGGAGAGTACAAGGCAATCCCTGGTGGTCTGGTGGATGACCCCCGATGGTCCTAGTGGGGAGTGAACTCTAGCCTGCAGTCCCTGAGGCTAGAGTTCACTCTTGCAAGAACTGGAGCGTTGCCGTAGTAACCGCAGCAACTCTCGAAGCTCATGAGAGAAGAACCTTCTGGTCCGTGAAGTCACACTGCAGTGCTGGCAAGGGAGAGCAAGGCTATGTTATTTTCTCCAGGAGGGGAAGGGGGGCAATTGCCCTATTGCCTCACCCCTGGATACTCCACCGTACTCACCAGAACAAATACATTAAGCTGTAGTTGTACTGGTGACTACATTGTCCCTTTAAACTATGCCTACAAATGCGTGATTAATACATGAAGCTAATATAACACAAACCATCCCAATTATTTTATTGGCATCTTTTTTTAAATTGCACTATTAAATTTAACTGATGCTATAATACCATTGAATTTGTGCAAACACAGTGTTATTACAGCTCAATCTGAAACATGTAATTTTATGAGTGCCATTAAAGATAACAGCCACATAATGTAATGGTTTAAAAAAACCCTCTTAATGGGACACTCTGAGCACTATAACCACTGCAGGCCATTGAAGTGCTTCTGGTGTGAAGAGACTGTCCATGTAGTCTCAGCAATGTAAACACTAACTTTTACAAGTTATATATGTTTACATTGCTGTGTAAGGGCATCTCTAGTGACTGTCACTCAAACGGCCACTAGACCATTTACACGTGTCGTCCTGCAACCTTTGACAGCTGACATTCAGCATCTTAACGCTCAGCATGAAGGCCCAAATTCTCTTCATAGGGACGCATTCAGTCAATAGATCTCGATAAGGAGATGCTGATTGCCAGAGTGTGACGATTGCTATGCATGCGCTCTTGCCCCCAAATGCTTCAGCATTGGGTAGGCTGAGACCATCTGTAATGCTATTCTAAGCCAGAGGAGGAATGGCGGCCATGGTAAGACTGTCGAGCCGCAGGAAATAAATGTGAGTAAATGTTTTAATTTTATTACTTCTAGGGGATCATTTAAAGGACCACTATAGTGCCAGGAAAACAAACTCGTTTTCCTGACTCTATAGGGTCTTTGGGTCCCCCCCACCCGCCTGGCTGAAGGGGGAGGAAGAGGTTAAATTCATACCTTTCTCCAGCGCCGAGGGCTCCCTCGGCGCTGGGGACTCTCCTCCCTCTTCCGACATCATCCTCTGAATGCGCATACACGGCAAGAGCCGTGCACGCAGTCAGTCCATAGGAAAGCAATGCTCAATGCTTTCCTATGGACGCTGGTGTCTTCTCACTGTGAAAATCACAGTGAGAAGCGCGGAAGCCCCTCTAGCGGCTGTCAATGTGACAGCAACTAGAGGCTGGATTAACCCGAATGTAAAAATAGCAGTTTCTCTGAAACTGCTATGTTTACAGCAGGCAGGGTTAACCCTAGATGGACCTGGCACCCAGACCACTTAATTAAGCTGAAGTGGTCTGGATGCCTACAGTGGTCCTTTAAGTAGCTAGTATAACGTTAGGGTAACATGTTTATATTTCTTTAATGTTTCTTTGGGTTTACTTAATTGTTTGTAAATGTTTGTTTCTACAAAATAAATGTGATTCAGATACATGACTTCAAAGCTTGGCTGAAAATGATCAACATTATATTTCATAATAATCTCATCTGCAGGTTTTGCCTGCCGAGTACCGATCCTAAATCAGTTTTAACATTAAAGTGTTCCTTTAAATGAGACCAACACTGGAAGAACACATAAATGTATAGTAGAAGGATGGGGAGGGCTTCGAGGTAGATAATAAAATAGTCTGGATAATAGAACACAGGTTGTACTATAAAGAGCATAAAGGGGGTGGGGAGTTAGAGATATGTTGGGAGGAGAGGGGGGCAAAAAAGACCATGCAAGTGACTTGGTTAGAAAGAGGACAAGGGGAGAGATGGCTAGATATTTGGTATTAATAAAACATAAAACATATATCCTCAATATGTAATAGATATCTGAAGGAATCAATAAAATTAAAAAAAGGAAAACCCAACAACCTCTTTCTATCTCCCAATGGTTTAATTCTCCATTCACCTTCTCCATGGAAGAAATAAAAAAATTTAAAAATGGGGTAATAATTATGCCGCTTGTTCCAATTATGCCGCTTAAGTCCAATCCCACTAAATTGGCAAATCACTGGGGGAAAAATTTTTTAATTGTGTCATAACACAATTTTTTCTCATTTTTATTGTGACTCTGTTCCAAGGTAGTGTTGAGAAAATATAAGGTTCATTTAAAATGACAGGATCATCTCACTACTTACAGTTATAAGAATGCTACTTGGAATATTTGTTCAATGTAAAATGATACCATCTGCATACATTTCTGTGCAGAACATATAACAGGGACAGACGTACAGATATTCAGAGTAGGAAATATAAAAAAGAAGAGGAGTTAGATAAGAACCTTCAGGACGATGCAAATTTCATTATGTACCATTATAGCCTATGCGTTCTTTGATATACAGGTCAGAATTTGTATTTATATGTTCATATTTGTTTTATTATAAGTAAACCATTGACATTATTTTTTTTTAGTTCAAAATACAATATTGGTGAATGGAAACAAGCATGGGTCAAAACATAAAAAAAATATTTTTAATTTTCAAGTTTGACTTGAGCAGCCTTAATCCTGCCACCATGAATCACAGGTGGCACTGAAGCTATTGATTTCTATGATAAATTAGGGTTTCGCAGATAATGCATTGCAATGCCCCCTGGGAAGGCTCTTCCAATAATTGACTTTGTCAGCAGCTGCCATGGCAACAGACAATAGTAGCGTTAGGAATGTAGCTTACGAGGTGTATGTGAAAATGAGTAACCCGTTAGTCCTGTGGTTATCAAAGAAAATTTATATTAAAAAAAAATACCCTGTGCATAATGAATTTAAAAAAAACACACAAAAGAAACCATACATGTAATGTATACAATAAAATAAAAAGGCGTAATAACTTTAGCAAAATATGGAGGCGATTTATCAAGTTAAAAATATATGCTATCCTGGAGCAAAGTGCTGAATAAGCAATAATCACTGTAAAAACCAATAGATGGCTTATGATTTAGCACTTTGCATTCTAAATTGAACCTGGTTTGCCTTGATAAATCTCTACTAATTTATTAAAACAAGTATGGCGTCATAAATCACATACTAGCATTTTATCTCAATAAGTGGAGGCTCTCATCCCAAATCAATATATATAAATATAAATTAGATACAATTAAAGAAAATAGCAGACATGGAAGTCACAATTAAAAAAATAAAAGAATCTAGGAAACAGATTTGTGTTAGAAGTGTTTTTATTTGGACCACTTGTCCCGTAACAGGTTCTTTCAACAATTGCTTTCAATCAAAGGAAGATTGTGAGATTCTGTTAATGACTACCTGAGCAGTGAGTAATCCTGAAATTACTTTACGTGTTTTGTAAGGTAACTTGACCCAAGAACGTCCAACCTGACGGAATGTACGTTGTGGTACATAGACTTGTGAATATACAGTATGTTGTCAACATATTGTCACAGTTTACATAATGCATTAAGAAATGGTAACTAATATTCTAGGAACATTTTGAAGAATAAAACACAAAAATGCCCACACAAGCCAAAAAATAGCAGATTTTTCACAGTGATACAATTTCTTTGAACGCTAATGATCACTTGTGGATCTAGAACTGGTAATCAGCAGAATATTCAGATTTTACAACCTATCCACTTACAACGGCAGCTTCTATAAATATCTAGGAAGATGCAAGAATATTCTATACACTATTCCGTGACAAGATCAGACAAACAAAATATTAACTGGCACATCTTGTGGAATCTTTGCTGTCATAGCAACTTAGCATATTTTGTAATCGTGTTTTATGAACTATATCACAAGCAATCACACACACTAATTCCAAAAATGCAACATTAAGTTAATGTGTACATTTTAAGGACCGATTGACTCATCACATAAAGGCTTTATAATTACATAAAAGCGGACTATGATTAGACTTTTTCTTTATATATTCAATTGACATACAAACTGTTAACAGGAAAAACAACAGCAGAACTAATGAAAAGAGGGACCTCCCAGAACCACAACTCCAGTGTCACTCTCACCCTCCCGATCAGAGTAACCAGTTCCTCTATTCCTCCTCAGAACTGAGATCTATTCCACCCGCATTGCGAACAAGTACCTGGCTGATTGTCTGCGTTGGTGAGTCACCTAACCACATACCAGTGGTGACAGATTGCCAGTCTCTAGAGCAGGCAACCTTCAGCACTCCAGATGTTGCAGACTACATCTCCCACAATGCTTTTCCCAAGCATTGACTGTAAGAGCATTATAGGAGATGTAATCCACAACATCTGGTGTGACGAAGGTTGCCTGCCCCTGCTCTAGAGCCATGATCTCCTCATTCCTGCAGTCACACTATAGCCATAAACTTGTCAGTCCCTAAACCTACACCACAATGTCCTCCGGGTCCTCTTTCTCTCCCGCCATCACACATGTCACTACTCATAGCCAAATTGGGAAGAGGCTCCCGTGCAGGCTGTGGTGCAAGGATTTCTCCAATGAGAGTATAGTGGGAGTTGTGGTGTTGAGTTGACTCGGCCCCACAGCAATCGCTGTCCTCTTTTTATCTGTATATAATATATCAATGCCACACTAACGGGAAAGGGAGCAGTTCCGTGATTGGCTGTCGGTTGGAGCTATGTCAGCAACTCAGCTCACACTAACCTCTCACCGATTTGGTATGTACTCACTGTATGTCGAATACAAAAGTCGTTTTAAAACTACCCAACACAAAGCTGGAAAGATTTTTTTATTTTTTAGCTAAACTAGTGATTTGAATTTGGAGAAAATGACACTATGGATATGAGGCCAAAACAAAACAAATACACAAAAACGAATGAACAGAAGGATGGTGCCATGGTACTCCAGATACTAAAACCACTCTAACGACATGAAGCGGTTACAGTGCCTACAGTGTCCCTTTAAATGAACACTCCAAGCACCATAACCACTTGAGTGGACTGTTGTGCATATGGTGCCAGGATTGCTCTGGCATCCCACTCCCATTTGAGTAGTCAAGCCATTTTAGAAGAGTTTGACTTCGTACAGGGAGGGCTGCTCCCCACATCCACTACAGCTTACAGGAGAGCCAATATCTCTCTGTCTGAGCCACGTCCGGCAGTGCAAGGATTAGCTCATTGGCTGAGAGAGATTAGCTGACTCTCTCCGCACTGCAGGACTTCGATAAGGAGAGTTAACAGATGTTCCTGCTTAGGAAACCATTCTACAGTGGGAGGAGGCACTGCAGGCATCATAGGAGTTATGGTGTTTAGAGTGTTCTCTTAAGGATTCCCCAAACCTGAAAACTATTTTAAATACAGTTGCAAGAAAAGGTATGTGAACCCTTTGGAATGATATGGATTTCTGCAGAAATTGGTCATAAAATGTGATCTGATCATCTAAGTCACAACAATAGACAATCACAGTCTGCTTAAACTAATAACACACAAAGAATGAAATGTTGCCATGTTTTTATTGAACACACCATGTAAACATTCACAGTGCAGGTGGAAAAAGTATGTGAACCCCTAGACTAATGACATCTCCAAGAGCTAATTGGAGTGAGATGTCAGCCAACTGGAGTCCAATCAATGAGATGAGATTGGAGGTGTTGGTTACAGCTGCCCTGCCCTATAAAAAATACACACCAGTTCTGGGTTTGCTTTTCACAAGAAGCATTGCCTGATGTGAATGATGCCTCGCACAAAAGAGCTCTCAGAAGACCTACAATTAAGAATTGTTGACTTGCATAAAGCTGGAATGGGTTATAAAAGTATCTCCAAAAGCCTTGCTGTTCATCAGTCCACGGTAAGACAAATTGTCTATAAATGGAGAAAGTTCAGCACTGCTGCTACTCTCCCTAGGAGTGGCCGTCCTGTAAAGATGACTGCAAGAGCACAGCGCAGACTGCTCACTGAGGTGAAGAAGAATCCTAGGGTGTCAGCTAAAGACTTACAAAAGTCACTGGCAAATGCTAACATCCTTGTTAGCGAATCTACAATACGTAAAACACTAAACAAGAATGGATTTCATGGGAGGATACCACAGAGGAAGCCACTGCTGTCCAAATAAAACATTGCTGCACGTTTACAGTTTGCACAAGAGCACCTGGATGTTCCACAGCAGTACTGGCAAAATATTCTGTGGACACATGAAACCAAAGTTGAGTTGTTTGGAAGAAACACACAACACTATGTGTGGCGAAAAAAAGGCACAGCACACCAACATCAAAATCTCATCCCAACTATGAAGTATGGTGGTGGGGGCATCATGGTTTGGGGCTGCTTTGCTGCGTCAGGGCCTGGACGGATTGCTATCATCGAAGGAAATGTTTATCAAGACATTTTGCAGGAGAACTTAAGGCCATCTGTCTACCAGCTGAAGCTCAACAGAAGATGGGTGTTGCAACAGGACAATGACCCAAAGCATAGAAGTAAATCAACAACAGAATGGCTTAAACAGAATAAAATACGCCTTCTGAAGTGGCCCAGTCAGAGTCCTGACCTCAAGAAAGCGATTCACCCCAGACATCCCAAGAATATTGCTGAACTGAAACAGTTCTGTAAAGAGGAATGGTCAAGAATTACTCCTGACCGTTGTGCACATCTGATCTGCAACTACAGGAAACGTTTGGTTGAAGTTATTGCTGCCAAAGGAGGTTCAACCAGTTATTAAATCCAAGGGTTCACATACTTTTCCACCTGCACTGTGAATGTTTACATGGTGTGTTCAATAAAAACATGGCAACATTTCATTCTTTGTGTGTTATTAGTTTAAGCAGACTGTGATTGTCTATTGTTGTGACTTAGATGATGATCAGATCACATTTTATGACCAATTTGTGCAGAAATCCATATCATTCCAAAGGGTTCACATACTTTTTCTTGCAGCTGTATATGTAATGATCTCAAAAAATCAGTGCATAACAGACAACAAAGAAATGTTTCTTGCTTATATCTCTTCTGGAAGAAGATTGTGAGGAAAAATTCCTAAAACAAAAATCGAAAGACTGTTAATGGACAATAAGATGTGTTTGTCGGATGGAGCTGGTGTATGTAAATACTGACTGACGGTGCACAAACAATTGCACAAGATATACTGTTTTATTTTTTATTTTATTAACTGTGAATTAAAATATTCAGAAACGTGGGAAGTTTTATTTCACTGAAGAGCTGTAACAAAATGTTGTTTGTTAGTGTGCCTAAACCTTTCCATGCAAATATATACAAACATGTCTATACTGTACATACTATGTATTTATTTTTTTAAACAATCGGTGTCTGAACACACATATATAACTACCAGCGCTCCTTTAATACAGAACCAATGTAATAAATGATTTGCACAATGTAACAGACGATGCACATGTCATGTGGCTTTACTGTCATTTTAACAATTTCTGAGTTAAACTCAGCTGTACACCCTCAGCAAATCTATTTACTAAGCGGCTGACAGATCTGCCTACTTGGGTTTTCATCAAACGTTGACAACTAGTTTCTCCTAAATTTAGCTGCTCAGGGAATTTTAGATTTGGTAGTGGATTAAATCACATAGGCCGAGGTTCGGTCTGCCCCTATTTCTGTCTGTTTAGTCTGTGGGAGTGTTTCTAGGTTAGCCCACTATCACAGTAAACATGGCTACTGGCATATTCTGGTTACCTCAGTGATATCTAGAACGACACATACGTTTATGGAAATCTCAATAAACTACACGTCTCGGGGCCCTCTTTAACCGACTAGTGTAAATGTATATATAAATTATGCCAAAGGGGCCTTTCCTAGTACAGCTAGGCTGTCAAGCTGAGTTAGGCCTCAGTGGATGTAAATGAAAACACAAGGCCATAATAAGGTTTTCACCCCAGGCATACCTGAGGAGTTGGCGAGAGGGAGCCAGCACGGGAGTGTGAGAGTCACACAATTTATGTCACTAATGACACTTGCAGTGGTAAAGGGGGCCTGTCAGCCCAGAATCCCTGTACCAACATGACAGGTAGCCATACAATAAGACCAAGCAGGGCTCACCATTTGCAGAACACCGGTAATGTGCTCTCACATGGACACACATGCCCTGGAATAGGACAACGCAAACATGGCTTTTTTGGTCTCAATGTGACTTTTCACTAGTGTCCTCAAAAATGGAATACCTCAGTCAAATATAATCAAAACAAAACCTGACAGAGGTGAAAAATCAGGACTATCCAGCACATGCAGGACTCTTGGCAGGTATGCATCAGACAAGGAAATCAAATTTGACTCATGTCAACTCTACCTTTAATGAACAGACTCCAAAAAGTGTAAATTACCTAACACAACACTGGAAATGAAATGACAACACAGAGAGATTTACGTAAAGGGTTGGTGTTCTACCCGAAGTGACATTTATTTAATATAAAATTTGAATAATAGATATATTCACAATCATTTCATTTATTGTGTGAGAGTAAAGTGAAAAATCGATTTACGTACTGTAAAGTAACTGAAATGTATAAACAAGCACATACAAAAAAGCAGTTATACTAGACAAGATAATGATTTTTATTCTACCTCAAGAGGGGAAATGTCACTAGACTATTATCTGTCAGTAAATCTAATGTAAATAACAGCTAAAATGTCAACACAACCATGTATTGCATTAGGTACAAGAGAGATGATTGAGACATAATGACATCACTGGCACTTTGACATATTCCAGCATGGCGCACATCGATGGAATTAAATAAGCGGATTAGAGAGTAAGCAGGAAAGAGGTGTGCACCATGACACGTCATGGTAAAAAAAAAAAAAAAAACTGGTTTGGTACAAAAAATAAAATTATTCTATATCCATCTACATGGGGGTAACTGCCCACCACATGTCACACTCACATTTGTACTTGGACTGTTTCCCCTAGAATGGAGCAAAAGCACAGATGCCAAACCAAATGCCAAAAACACATTACTTTATCCAACATTATAATCTTCTAAAATCTTTTGGTTGAAGGACAATGGTGGTCAACAGATTACACTACACTCCTTTTATTTTTAATTTTTTTAAAAATGTATTTCAAAGTTCATTACATTTAATGAAACAAATTTATATTTATTTATGCTGTTTATTATTTTTATTATCTATATTATTATTATTTTTTTTAATGCCATTTTAAAAGATATCCCTCAGCAGCCATGTTGGGTCGGACTCTACTGTTATCAGACCAACTGGTACTCAACCTAACCTGACTGCTTTGGTGATTGCTCTGTGTGAGCCTACAGCGCCAGTCGAGTTAGGTTGAGCAGAAGTTGGTCAGATAGCAATAGAATCTGAATAAACATGGCCGTTCAGCCAGATTTTGAAAAGATAAATTTTCTCAACAAAAAAAAAAACCAACAAAAAATCCAAAACATATAAATACGCATCATTTAAAAAAAATACTTTTGTTTCATTAAATATAATAAATAGACTTTTAAAAAGCAAGAAGTTAAGACTTGATGACATTTGTCCTTTTTTAGTTTTCAATAAGATTGTTTATAGAAATATAGAATTCATAATAAACATTCACTGTACCCTTCCTTTAAAGAGAATAGTCTACCACCCACCTTCAGATCATGACCCTATGTTCCATGTCAGCTTCTATATATTTTATGGGCTAGACAAATCAATAATTTAAGGTAATACATTAAATCCAGGATTTGCAGGCAGGCAGATCGAGCATCAAAGAGGCAACATCTGATCTACGGACTTCCAGTTGCATTATATAAAGTACAGCAAATATAAAAATTGGTATATAGGTTGCGCTATGGAAACAAAGGGATAATATAAAAAAAATATATATATATATATATAAATAAATAGTAAAAAGTCCCAAATAATAAATCAACCTGTAGAGTTCTTGAGTGTATATAGAGTCCAATGAGTGTCTGAAACTTCTTATTTTGGAGATATCTTGGTTCGCTTGTTGATGTATGGGTACATGAAAAAGACAAGAGAAACTCCAATAGTGCAGAATGTCGACAAATGGACAAGATTGAACTCTGTTAATAGATAAACCACTCACCTATTTATGAGCAAAGAAACTTTACTTGTGTAAATCTACAAATCCAAATGCCAATACTAAAACGACTCATTTTTCTTCCACTATTACAAAAATAACATATCCTATCAAAGATTTCATTGGATGTAACACCAAAAATGTGATATATTTATTAGAATGTCCATGTGGTTTTCAATACATTGGCATGACAACAAGATGTTTAAAGATTAGATTGGCAGAACACTGTCGCAACATTAAAAAAGGTTACGACAATCATTCAGTGTCCAAACACTTTTTAACCCATAATAAAGACCCCAGTTTTCTTAAAGTTACTGGAATAGAAAAGGTTGCCATGCCCTGGAGAGGAGGAGATATGAAAAATATTTTGGGAAAGAGAGAAATGAATTGGGTTTTTCAACTCAAAACCCTGTCTCCCCAAGGGCTAAATGCAGAATTTGATCTTTTTAACTTTTTATAAAAAATATTTTTTATAGATTTTTTCCACTTTCCAATTTTTTACAATTCATTTGAATATAATTATTCATTAAAAAAAATTTTCCTTTATCTTTTAACTTCACTTCCATTTTTTTTATCTATTTTCTTTATTATTTATATCTATTCTTATTTTTATTTTAATCTCTATTTATTCCTTCCTCGTTATTACTATTTCTGATTTTTAAAGGAGATTATCCTAGTCTGTATGTGTCAGTTTAATAAAAAAAAAAAATTTCTCTCCTACTCCTCCCATTGGCAATACCGGTGGGTGGCCACCAGGTGGGGCGCCCTTATTCTGTCGGGCGCCCTGCATGGTGGTCCCACCTTCCGGCAGACACTAATGTTATCTCCCCAGGGTCGTCTTCTTTCTCTTTCCCCTTATTATGTAATGGCCATTCAGTCCATTGATGTCTAGGGCTTTCAAGTGCCCTCCCACTAGTATGCCGACGTTGAGAGATGGGCGTGTACAATCGCGCCGGTCTCTCAGCCCCGGCATACATTTCCCATAATCCTCAGATATCATATCACGGGATCGCGGGAGGTCGCGATCACGTGTTCTGTCAAACCTACAATATCACTAATTATACTATCAATTATAAACGCTCGTTTTTAATTTTAAAACACACAGACACTTTTGGACTGTCCTTACAAATGTTTTAATACCTTAAATTTCAACTTTTATTAACTTTGAAAATCGTGCATATTTTATCAGTGACGTCATTTTGGCGCCTAAATTCAATTCCACATCTGTTTCTTTTAGCTTATAAAAGCATCTACTGTACCAGGTTTTTCTCTCTTTTAATGCCATTTGATAAAGCCTGTGTGGTGAAACGCGTTTTGGCTGTTTATACACTGATTTTTATATTGATATATTATACTACAAATAAAGGAATATTGGTTTCTTTTTGCCTGTATATACACATTTTACTTCATTTATTTTCTTGTTTTTAAATTTCCTGGTCACCGATTCGAATTGGAGCATGTTACTACTCAAGAATCCTAGGTGGGGATAGTACCACCTGTGCCATCAAATTGAGCAGTAGATCCTGCTCATATATATGTGAGTATTTTACCATTTTAATTTGCCTTTTAATTTAATCAGTGAGCACTATATACGTCTCTTATCTCTTTACATACCGAGGAATTTTTAAGGATTTCATCACCTATATCCGACCAGTGGGGGATAGACGCCACTGAATGCTAAGAACACATGAGCAAGTTTCTTTGCTCATAAATAGGAGTGTTTTACCTATTAACAGAGTTCAATCTTGTCCATTTGTCGACATTCTGCACTATTGGAGTTTCTCTTGTCTTTTTCATGTACCCATACATCAACAAGCGAACCAAGATATCTCCAAAATAAGAAGTTTCAGACACTCATTGGACTCTATATACACTCAAGAACTCTACAGGTTGATTTATTATTTGGGACTTTTTACTATTTATTTATATATATATATTTTTTTTTATATTATCCCTTTGTTTCCATAGCGCGACCTATATACCAATTTTTGTCTATTTCCTTATCTGTGAGGCTTTCTGAGGGAGCCTCATACTTATAGGTTGCTGCTTCCTCACTTGTTTTAGTTTCTATTAGATTATTTAGCACTGAATCGTTTACCTATTTGTTCGATATATATATATATATATATATATATATATATATATACACTTACATTGCTGTAACTTTGTTATTAATATATAAATATAAGCGATGAGGGGCGTGGCCTGACCGTCGAGAAGACTGGACGTGTCTCCTTAGAGCTCCGTGCTACACGCGCCCAAAAAAGCTAACGAAAGCGACCCAAAGTGGTTTTTTTTGTCCACTTTCCCACCTTACCCCATACCATGGAGAAGAGGGTGTCAAAAAAACACCCTAAAAAGTCCTCTGAACCGGGTGGCTCCGTCCTGGACCTCCTGACCGCTCCTAAGCAAGGCCGGCCTGAAAGCCAAGATGGCGACGGGGGCTCCTCACAGGCATCGCCTCGTGGTAACAGGGAGTCCTCGTCAGCCGACCATGACACCGTCCTGTGTAAGCTGGCAGAAGTCCGGACCTTCTTGGCCGGTGAGATCGCCAAATCAACAGCAGTCCTACAGGCCGACATAGGAGCCCTTGGGGAACGGACCGCGAGGCTGGAGGAGCGTATGGACGCCACTGCTCAGGCCTACAATGCGGTTGTGGACCGGGTCAACCACCTCACCGCCCAGGCGGTAGATACAGACCTGGCAATGGAGGATATGTCGAACCGCTTCCGGAGGAACAATCTCCGCATACGGGGCCTGCCTGAAGACAAAAGCGAAAAGCTGCAGGAGATTGTGCTCTCCGCCCTGAGACCTCTCCTCCCAGATCTGCCAGAGGAACGCTGGCACATGGAACGAGTGCACCGGGCACTGCGCGCAATAAGGGCAGAGGGGAACACCCCGAGGGATATTATAGTCCGGTTCCTGCACTACCGTACCAAGGAAGAGCTCATGAAGAAGGGCCGTGAGGGTCCCATCAGGTATGCCGGCACCTCCATTTCCCTGTATCACGACCTTGCCCCCACTACGCTTCAACGCCGAAGGGACTGGCGACCCGTGACGGAGGCTCTTAGAAGCACGGGCATACGGTATGCCTGGGGCTTTCCCTTCAAGCTCCTTACGTTTCAGGGAGACCGGGTACACGTCCTGTTGCCGGGAGGTGATCCCCTACGCCTGTTCCAGAGTCTGGGCGTCCAACCTCCCCCGAACCTCCCCAACCTGGCATTGGGCCCGGAGGTGCTTCCCCAATTGAGGCCGGACTGGCAGACAGCGGATCCGAGAGGCCACCGTTAAAGTTGGAGGGTATCGTATTGTGTGGCCCCCTACTATGTTGAAGGCCCTTACCAAGTAGTAGGAGCATAGCCTCATTCAGTTGCGGGTGGGGACTGGGTGAGGGTCTGACACTGGGTGGGCCTTTATTGCACAATGAAGCTTTGGGAGGGACACCCGGGCCTTCTCCTACCCCTCTTATCCGTGGCCCATAGTGTTCGCTCTACCACAGCTTTTAATACTACTGATGAAGGGGCTGTGATTTGGGAGGGGGTTGCCGGGACCGGGGCCGGATGGACAATCCAGGTGACCATAGGACTAAGGGGACCTTTTTTTTTTTTTTTCTCCACACGTACACTTCTGTTACCGACCTACAGAGCGCCACGCAAGACACGCGGAGGCTATCAGGATATGGCTTTCCTCCATATTTCGGGACACAAAAGAACTTGTGGTACTGCTAATTTTTTGTTTGTGTTTTCAACACCTGACTTTCTTTGCGCCCCCTTCCCTCCTCGTATTGGGTATGCGATGATTGCATGCAGGTGACTTGTAATGTGTATGGTAAGGGTACTACATGCATGATATTAAAGGGAAGAAAAAAAAAAAAAAATAAGGGAAAAACACCCACAAAGACATAGGCCCCCCCCTTGAAAAACGGGAATGCATAACGGGAATGAGAATAGGGGAGGGGTGGGAGAATAGGAAACAGGGAAAGAAAAGTGGGAGAGAAAAAAGGAAAAGGATGGAGGGAGGAAGGAGGAGAAAACGGAAACAAAGAGAGGGAGAAGGGGGATAAGGGAGAAAAGAGGGAGTGGGGAAGAAGGAGAAAAGAGAGAAAGAATAAAATGAAAGGAGTGAAAGAGGGGAAAAAGGAAAAGAGGAAAAGGTGACAGAAATCGCAAAAGGGGGGAAGAGGGAACACTGCAGAAATAGAGATAACATAACATAAAATAAACCCCCCCCCTCCCTCTCCCCTCCCTCCCCCTTCCTCTCTCTTTCTTTTTCCTTTCCTCTGATCTTTTTCTCTTCTCACTTTTCTTTTTCTACTGTACTTTTGTCTCCTGCTCCTTTTCCTGCTATCTTTTTTTCTCTCCTTTCCGTTCTCTCTATCTCTTGATAGACAAGAGATTAGTGTTTCTCCGCGATAGGTTTAATCAAGCTGTCAGAAGTGCTGGGATACCCATAAATAGAAATGGCTATAACACGCAGTGTAGTAGACTGGGCCCCAAATATAGCCAATATGCCTGTGAGACAGGTGACAGCTCCCTTGATGGGGCAGCGACCGTAGGGGAACGCGGGTAGATCTCGCTTGGCCTACCTGATATATATATCTTAGCTTTTTACAAAGTTCTAAGCGGGCTTCTGCGTAAGCCTGAAGGTTTCTATGCAATTGTTTCACCTGTTGAGTAGAAGCATAAAGTTCATCCAAAAACTCTAGACGGGTAGCAAGGCACCAACGATTTCAACATGACTTATCGATATGTAATGGATATACGCCTCTTGTGCCCAAGGCAGTGTTGCTTGCCATTGGCTTCTGCGTAAGCATTTAAGTTGGCCATGTACTTGCTATAACCTATAATATGACAAAAAACAAACAAAAAAAAAAACCTTTGTAGACGGCAGGTACCAATAGTTTTTTAAGGAATGGGCGTAGATCGTATTTGTTGCACTATGTTATGCTTATAAGAATTGCATTCACATTGGCTTCTGCGTAAGCCCAAAAAGTTGATGAATACTTGCTGCGTCTATTGAGTGAAAAAATAAAGAATTTAAAAAATAAATAAATAAATATAAGCGATAACAGCTTATAATGTGATCTATAGGTCTCCCTTAACTGGCTAATCTTATTTTATTATGAAAGTCAACAGAGCTGCCAAGCAATATAAAAATAAATGTAGGGGGCGGGGCTAGCACGCAGACCGAGACAGACGCCATTTGCTGGAGCTCCTCCAAACAAACCTGAAATCTGCCCGATATCAACGGAACACGAGCCCATCCAGCCTCAAAAAGCACGAAATTGGACTCTGCTGCCCGAGCTGAAAGCGTAGATGCCCTTCTTACAGCCGCAAAAACAGCCTAAGCGGCGACGGAAAACCGAGGCCTATCACCCTCTCCAAATCCCCAGCCTCGCGTCACTCTTCGGCGGAGACCTCGCGGAACGGCCGAGGGCGACCCCATCACAAACAATCGCCCTAACACACTCACCATGGGTCGTAAATCACAGAGACCCGCCACAGGGTCGGATACCAGGGACATTGGGGCCCAAGCCCAAACAAACTCAGGCCGGAGACCAACCGGAAACAGAACCAGAACCGGACCACCACGAGATGGAATTACCACAATACCCCCTGGTGGTAAGACCCGCACAAGCGGACCCTATGGATGAATCAGCCCCAACAACTAGGGGAGACCTGAAGGTCCTATTAGCTGATATCCACAAACTCCTGGCTGCAAATTTAGCTGTATTTACAACACAGCTACAGACCGTAACAGAGAGAGTCAAGGCCACAGAGGGGGTTATAGCAGACACACAATCTGCCATGCAAACCATGCAGGACTCTATCCACCAATTACAAGCGCACCAGACTACCCTGAACGCAAAACTCATAATACTAGAGGATAGACAACGCCGCGCAAACATCAAAATAAGGGGTATCCCTACGGCAATGTCCGCGGAGGAACTTCCCCACTACACCCGACGCCTCTTGACATCTATATTACCTCCCACGCTAGCCTGCAAAATCACAGTGGACAGTCTATATCGCATCCCTAATACAACCAACACTAATACCAACCTGAACCGGGATGTCATCCTGCGCTTCCACTCAGTACAAGACAAAATACATGTCATGACAGCTGTGAAGGGCAAAACCCCTCTTTCATTTGAAAATGACACCTTGAACTTCTTCCAAGACCTTACTAAGGCAACGTTGCTATGGAGGAAAACCTACGCACCGGTAACTTCCCAACTACGCACGGCAGGACTGCCATACAGATGGGGAACCGACAACTCTTTAACGGTTACCACAGAAGGAACTACGCATGTCCTCCACACCATGGCCGACGCAGCCTCTTTTCTGGGAAAATTAGGACTACCCATTCCAACCGATAATCGTGCGCTTCCTGAGAGTGCCAGAGACCCGGCTACCATCATCCCCTTTGTCCCACGCACCAGAGGGACACCACCACCCGTACAGTGACAGCCCACACCGACACCTATGGCTACACAGTCTCGCCTACATTAGTAGGCTCTGGCCTCGAGCCACCTGGAGAGGACATTGATACACGAGAGAAACCTCGTACTCGGACGCAATGCAGTTACTAGAATTATCTATTACCTTTACAGTTACTATAATTTACTTTTTTTTTTTTTTATCTATGCTTTCACACCCCTATCCTGACTACGAGCAAACCACACCCCAGCCAACACACTGGACACAACACAAGAGAGTCAATGGGGCCACATCCCTCCTCCTCCCCCACCCCCCTTGGTTAGGGGTACCACGCATATCAGCTACCGCTGAAACAGCCCACACTGACAAACCACAACCCAAACTGGGAACCAACACCATTACATAAGCTGACACATGTTACCTACTCAAACTCCATGAATCACACACACACACACAACAATGTTTCTCTTTGTTTCAAGACTCCTATATATTTGTCTACAGAATGTCTAACATGTTAACCTTGTATACAATTGTTAAACGTTGAAGAAAAAAAAATGTGCGTACTGCTAGACATGCCTAAGCTATATCGGACATGCATAATTTACGAATGTCTTTTGTCCTCTTGATATCTCTCATGCACATCCAAAATAAAGAATTAAAAAAAAATAATAATAAAAAAAAAAAATTTAATATATTTATGAGTTTGACTAGTAAGGTAGATGGGTTTCACAGAAAGATTGACCTGACCCTGAGGAAAAGTGATGGGGATATACAGAGGACTTAACGCTACAGTATGAATCTCATCAGTTCTATAGTATATCTTGTGTACACACTGAGAAGGTTTATTTGAGGTGTTAGACAGATGCTTGTTGGATTTTGGAGCCAGACGGTGTACCTCATAACATTTGAAGGCTTCAATCGGGATGTGGGCTCATGGCTAAAGCAGAACACAAGTTGCCAGCCCCTCAGACATACTTTGAGTAATAAATAAACTCTAAACCATTCACATTCACAGTGTGGTGGAAGAGTAGTCATTGGATGTCACAGAAGGTATTGGGCTATACGAAATGCACATGGGTTTTAACAGGTTTAAGATTTTCTTGTGCACAAGATACCTATGGATATTCTAGAAATAACCTGGTATTACAGCCAACTGGACATGGGATAGTTAGCAGGTATGAGGCATAGAGAAAGAGATATATGTTTCTAAATAGAAATGGACATAAAGCACTAAAACTAAATAAAAGCCAGCAGCCACTAATTGTTCTTAATAATGCAACTTACTGTGAACAATTCCATATGTATTTAGTTAAAAGAGGATTCCGGGGGGTGGGGCGTAGCTGCCTAGATGGCCAGTCGCACTTTTCTGTAGCTCAGGCGGGCTGTCAACAACATCCAGCTTAATCCAAGTACCTACCACAGCTACTCCCCTCACATGACTGAGGGTTTACTGCAGATAAGCCTGACGACATTGTGTGAGAACTGGATTACGTCTGTGTGAAGGGTATTATCACCTGGGCAACTGAGGCCTAGCCCTACTAGCAACCCCAACTAGCTTCCCCGACGGACGGGAGAAACGGCCAATCTCCTGGCCTCAAGAGAACCGATTTCTGCAACCTGGCTGGGTCCCGTTGTCCCTATCCCCCTGGACCAGTGGGGTAAAAAAAAAAAAAAAAAACAGGATTCCTTGTGAATTCATTATCCCATGCATTCTATTAAAATTGTACATATATATTTTTTTTCATTATTGAATGTTATTTCTTAAAAATTGCATGGAAAATTCACCCCTCCCCTCCCCCTGAGAGGTCACTTACACTATAAGCTTCTCTTTTTATTTGCTTTAAAACAAAAATGACCCTTTTTTTAGAACAATCAGTATTTCAGAATATGCACATAATTGTCATCGGAACCAACTGACGTCACATCTGAATTGGCTGCGTTACATCAGCTCATTAGTCCCTTTGTTTGCACTGTAAATTAACAAAGATTTTCGCAAATCAATACATTTCTCACCAACCATATTGTACCTCTTTTACACAGCCCTCCCATCACGCACTTTAAATAATTACAAATACGTAACACTTACACAGACACATGAGACATGTCATTAACACTTAGGTACAAGTCAGTGTGTTAACGGATTTATTAAAATATTTTTATTTATTTTTTTGACGTGAGAAACAAACATTTTAACATGACTAACATAGAACATCACACTTTCTACTGGTCAGTAATGGGTTAATGGTACGACCTCTTACAGCTGGCTGATAGGAAAGAACTTAGCATGTCATATGCACGTATTTTATATCATATATTTAAGCAATATCCCTTTGGTATCAACATGACATGATTTGGAATGAATCCCCATGGGGAATATTTAAGAAACAGAAAAGTAGGCGAAGTTCTAAAATTGGAGAAATCTCCATAGAAACCAATGGAAATTCTTCTGATGATTCTGTTGGTTTCCACGGAGATGGCTTCTCTTTTAGAACCTTGGCCCACTTTTCAGCTAGTGGCATTTTTAGAAATTTTCCCACTGGACCTAACTAAACCCCAAAGTTGCCTTGAGTACAGCCTTTAAGTGATAATCTCAATATAAAATCACAAAATTACCATCGTAAATGCCCACTCAGGAGACCAAGGATACAATTCAGAAAGACTCCACAATTTGGCTATAACCTTGGGCAGGTATGATCCCGTAAAACCCAACGCTAACTCTATTTTTAGAGTTGAGTGCAACAGAACAAAGCAGGTCCAAAGAAGGATCCGATGCAGCAAGGATTACATATGGTGTCATGGTGACTTCAGCTACAGAGGTCGTCAGCATTGAATTTCTTAGAAACACAATATTGATGAAATATGACATCTCCAATTTGTAGTTCAAATAGATCGGCCCAAGTTGAGCCCAAAAAAAACCACCTGATTGTAGCTATACATTCAAACTCAGAGCCTAGCAAACAGGGCTGAATGCAATATCTACCAAAAATACCTATGTTAGCAGGCTATCAGTGCGGTCGCCAGAACTTCACACCAATAAATACAGTGCTTTTTTTCTAAACAGTCTTTATTTTAAAATATCATGGTAATAAAAATAGTGATTTGAATTTTTTAAATTCCTACAGTCGAGGCTCACAATATATTCTATGTATTATGTAATTACTTCTCTCTATAATTATAGCTACTTTAGCACATTATGTACACCTATTAAACACTGCACACACACAATCTAGGGTAATAGCCAGGATAATTAAACAAATAAATCAACTGAAAATATTAGATATAATTTAACATGTACTGCAATCCAGCTACAAAGGGATACAATTTCCTCCTGCACATGGGATATCTAGACTCAGAAATAGGCAACATTTGCCAATCTAGCTGCTGTGGACTACGTCCCCCATGATGCACCATGACACTAAACTTTCCCTATTCCCCATCTAGAGGAACTGATGTTTGAAAAGCAAGTAAAAATGAATAATTCAGACTCTTTGTGTGCATTAAATAATAAATACTACATAGGCAGAGGTCATTATGACAGGAAGGGAGAGATCACGTGTCTATCATAACTCCTATACCGTACAATTTAGGGGACTCAGCTTGTACTATGGTGAGATATAACTGGGGACATTAGGTGATAATTATGTTCAATAAGATCAAAACAATATTTTTGGAAGCCCAGTTCTGAGTTACACAAAGAGTCATAACACTCCGATTTCCATAGAAGAGATTATGTAAAAAACTGAACGGAACCAGAACACGGTCAAAAAGCCCAAAGTTTGTGACGTTGCTCCCTGTAGCAGTATGGCAACTGACAATGTTTTAACGATGTTACGATTGACCGCAACACTATAATAAATAACATACAGAAACATACCCACATGATATATAATAGCTTATTCTTCCATAAAACAATGATAGACTATTCAACTGTAAACATAGTGAATCTAAAAGCCATTTATTGGGCTTATTATATAAATATAATATTATATATAAAACTTTCATGATATTTATCAGTGTACACACATACAAACAGAACTGACCTTAATAAAAGGAAGATTCTCAGGTTACCTAAATTTATCTGTATCAGTGTTTGAAATTCAATATATAGGCTAACAGAAGCTACAGGTAAAAACATCAGAGAAGCATGGAGCATATCAACTTACGACATATTAAAACACTCATGCAGACGTTTCACTCGCGAGAGAGAAATAAAGACACCGGAAAAGCAAGTATTTTAAAATAAAAAATAAAAGCCTAAATAAAGCAGTCGGACAAGGAGGCCTCCTGGTCTTGGTAAGGTTTCCGTGCTCAGATGTATCTGTCGGATTCCCTGCCTCTGTGTGGATGGTTTAAAGTGCAAACAATAGCAGTGACGATGTACAACATAAGTCTGGTGCGCACATACAGTTGTCTGACACATACTTGGTGAATTAATGCCCAAAACACATTCCGGTTTACCCATCCTGATTGATGGCGCATGTGACAACAAATACATTTCTCCTCTATGAATTACATTTACATATACAGCGTTAATTTTGATAGGCTAATAGCCTAGAAAAAAAATATTCTTTTCTACAACACTTCAAAAACAAATCTACAAATGCAAGTTCAAATATTGATTTATTTTTTTATGCATTACCACAGCGACTCTGAAATCATGAGTCAGCTACAGCGTGTCTAGATCCATCATGTTAAACTGAACATGTATCCCCTCTTCATGGTGATGGATGCCCTTCATAATATTGCATTCATACACTGCAGCATTCAGCACAATAAATATATATCTTGCATACAGCATTAAAGGGACCCCTCCAGACCCCTAAAGCACTTTAGATTTCTGAAAAGCTTTATGTGTGAAGAGTGTGTCCTATTTTTTCCATTTTGGAAAAAGTGCAGATTTCAATAAAAATTGACACTTTTATAAATTATACTGGTTACACCCACTGGCTTTTCAAGCAGACAACTGGTCCTGTTACTTCCTGGTTTGATTAGCTTAGTTGCACTGAACTCAAGAGGCAGCCAATTGCCCAGAGCACCCGCCTTGCAAAGACTTCCCATTGAGCTGTATTGGGAAGTCTGTGATTGGACAGCCGTCGAACGTCTGGGCTGGATTAGAAGACAAGGGCTTGCAAAACTCAGCAGAAAAGAGATCTGCAGTTTTTTCGAACTGTTTTTAGATATAACTCGAATGAAAAATTTCATATTTAAATGCGTGCAAGTTTTCACTTTGAATTTGGGAAGTTGAGTTTCCCTTTAAGGTTCTGCTATTTGCAGGGCAGGTCTTTCCATGTGTTGCCCAGCAATATGTATGATTGATGTGCCCGGGAAAATAAAATAGATCAGACAACACTTGACCAGCACCCACATTTTGGTCTTTGATAAACACACTGTACTTGATCCAACCAATGGAAACAAAACACAAGGTTTACTATGGTGGCACTGGTCATAAAGTTCAATTTACAGAGCAGGATTCATCATTTCAATGAAGTTGTTATGGTGCGTGGAGTGTTCCTTTAAGCTAAAGTTATTTTGGTAACAGTAGTGTCCCTTCAAGCTCTTTTATTATTGCTACAGCGAACTCTTCTGGAGTGTCCTTTATTTTCTGAATTGTTATAGAATTATTTCATGTGATAAAAAAAAAAATAGGTTTGTTATCTTGTTCCATACTTGAAATAACTTCAAGTCTACCAGCCAATCTGCTATGGGTGACTGCACAAATGGGCTCTGCAACCCTGTGTTTATAAGCTGCGGATGTCTCGAAGGTACATCTAATGTGAAATATGTGTCAGGATTCAGAACAATTATCTGTCCGCATCCCCCTCCTCCAGTACCACATCTGCCAGCACTAACTCATAAGCTGTTTATATAGAATGGAAGGGACAATCATGCATTGTAAGAACTATGCAATATTTCCACTGTAACAATATCTCACTTTCACAAGAAGTAATTACGTTTATCTCATCAGTAAACCTCACCTGCAGATAGTGCACCCAAACAGGTTTCCTATATAATTACATGGAAACACTAACCCGTAATGCATAGCTACGACAATAGTTCAGGATTGCTTTTGTATATATCCACCATCATATTGTTTATTGGCGAACTGACTGAACGCAACAAGATTATTATCAAACTGCTAAATGACAAGTTATTAAAATCTGAAAAAATATCTATATCTATAGATAGAGATTTGTATAGATATATAACTATATATACAAATACATATATATATTATTTTGAGAACATTCATTATAAAGGACATTTAACAGCAGCAATTGAAGGAACACTATAGTCAGAACTACTATTGCTTAATGTAGTGGTTCTGGTGCCTGTAGCCTGTCCCTGCAGGCTTTGCAGAGAAAAGGCAGTGTTTAAATTGTTTCCTAGTAACCCCCGCTGTCACTGATACTGCCACTAAAGGCCCTCACATATTTCCTTTCTGCATTTTTGCAGGATCTACCGTCAATGCCTCTACACTTTGCATGGAGACATTGAATGCTCTCCCTAGAGATGCATTGAATCAAGGCATCTTTATGAGCTGCACTTGATTGATGGATCACGGCTTGCAGTGCATGCGCCATAGTCCAACTTTTCTCAATGAGAAGAGCTTTGTTTGATAAAGAAAAACATTACTATGATAAGCTAGAAGGCATTTTGGGCGGAGGTTCTCATCGCTGGATTAGACGTAATTTTAATATAAATTGAGGTCTGATCAAGGCCCAAAGGGTTGGGGGCATGTATCTAAAAAAAGAGGTTAACACAAGTAGGATGCAAATAAAAGTATAAACGTCTGACTAATGTTATGAATCCAGTGATAATTCAATTAACACATAGAAAAACATAACACTTATACAGGACTTTTAAACCAACTCAGCTGCATAACTGCCAAACTTGCAATATTAAAAGGTACTAATTAAAAATAAACACATGGTATAACAATCCATTAACCCCAAGCGTATTTCAGCTTTTAATTAAGACGCGATCAACTCACACTGGGTCTGTAATAGTTGTTTACTCTACATGTATGAGATGTTTAATAAGATATATTTATATGTAACTACATATTTGTTTTTACAAATAGCTTTAGGTTCTATAGTAACCAGACATTCAAACTTCTATGAAATCTTACATGCTCTGGAATAGCACCAATCAATTGAGAATATTAAAAGGTTCACTAATAGCACATGTTCTAAATGCGGATCAATAACCGTGGCAACCACTGGAATCAGCAGGGTGTTTTTTTTTGCCTTTTTAATGCTAAGTTAATTAATGTAGAGCAGGGGTGATTAGCAGGTTCCTCGTAGCTGCCATTAACTATACTTTCCACGGAGCTTGGCCAGGCTATGCAGAGAACTCCGGACTCAAATACATTTCCTTTCCTTGTTCTTCTGAAAAACCATTAATGCAATTGTAAACACTAAGTTCTGATGTTCCACAAACACATATAAACATAGTGGGACGTGTAGGTCCACAACCAGAAAGCAACATGTTGAGGGTATGGATGGATGGTCCACCTCTAAAGAGTATAGAACTACATATGATTAGCATTCATTTCTATTTCTTTAAGATTTCGTTACAATAAATAGATGGACCGTGGCCCGAATTAAAGAAGTGGACTTTCCCATGACTAAAGCCAAAAATATGGGAAATAACATTAGGATGTTGTATCCCTTGAGAAACAATATCCATTAAAGTCTCAGCATTAGGTTTCTTCTCAAGCAAGATAATGAAACTCATATATTTCAGTAACGGAACAACAGATTGAAGGTACAATTGCTACTGTGAGATGAAAAGGTATCCTACAGGGTCAAGGTAAACATTTCATCAGGTTATACAATCCCTTGGAATGAAATGTGTTAATGTGATATTTTAATCTGAGTGTCTCTAACAGCAATTATAGACAAGAAAAGGGAGCAAACAAGGCCAGATGAAGGAATTTGATGGTGAACGTGGAACATTCTAAGCCTGGCTCATTCATGCGGACGTGCAGTTTCATATCTCGCTCTTGGTGACGATGAAGCAAGCAGAAGGGCGAGGGAATAGATCAGCTGTCACTGCTTCTTGTAATGCTAGACAGTGTCAAGAGATTGAGAGAGATGAAAATCCCACGGCTGCCAATGTGGTGCTCTGTGTAATCTGGGTAGCTACACATCAATGATAAAGCAACAACTATATTGAAAAGAGATTCCCGTAACTAATGAGCAAAGAATGTGTCCTTGATATGAAGCCACAAAAAAATCTATCACGAGAAACAGTATGTAACCCAATCTGTGGCTAATACAAGGGGAAAACCACTAATAAAAGGTTACTTAATTTCCAACAAGGTAATGTTATTCAGGGGTCCACAACCTCAATGATCTGGAGATCTTAATCCACAGTGAGCAGTCCCACTTAACGGGTCACCTCATTGAAATGTAAGCAGTCTCATCAGGCCATCTTATTCAAGCATGAGCAGTCTAATTTATTGGCCATCTCGTTGACATGTAAGCAGTTCCACTCATCAAGGCGTCTCATTCAAACGTGAGCAGTCACTTACCAAGCCATCTCATTAAACCATGTGCGGTCTCCCTAACAGAGCCATTTTAATAAACATGGACCAGTCTCAAATGCCCAGCTATTTCATTCAAGCAGAAGAGGTCTCACTTACCAGGCCATCTCATTCTATGGTCAGAAGCCTCACGTACTAGGCCATCTTATTCATGTACAAAAAGCCTCACTTACCGGGCCATCTCATTGAAGTGTAAGCAGTCACTCACTACACCATCTCATTCAATGGTGAGTTGTGTCAATTAGAAAAAAGGAGGTAACATTCAGTTGAAAACAATTTCACATTAAGCTAGGACATCTCATTCAATAGCACTCTTGATTACAAGAAGACAATCGCATTAAATAGACAGCAGTCTTGTTTATAAGAGGACAATATTATTGAACATTAAAAAAGCACTCTCCTTTACTAAAAAGCAATCTCGTCAGAGAGCAGTCTGCATTGCTAGAAGGCAAATCTCGTGGAATAAAGAGCTTTCTCTAATCATATCCCAAGAAAGCAGTCTTTCACTCACATCAGTCTCATTCTTTAGCAAGCAGTCTAATGCCTAAGAAGGCAATTTTTCATTTACTAGCACATTTTCCAAGGGTCCCGCTATAAGAGGAGCAATAAAACTAACAATATGCATTAAATAGATAATAAATATCTTTATAAGTTGCTTTACATAAATAAAATACTTTGTTGTTCTTCTAAATAGACTTTCTTCTTCTAAATAGATTTTACTATTATATAAATAGATCTTAAAAAGTACATTCCCCTAAATATTCTGAGCCATTCCCAGACCCTCCCCTAAAACACCAATGTCCCTCTTTGGCCATCTGAAATGTTGGGAA